TAAAGAAAATGACCTATTTCAAATTTCTCCCGCTGACATTGACTGGTGCTTGTTGTTACTGTTGTTTGGTTACCTGCATCACCTTCCTCTTCTTCGCTACATTCACTTGAAGTCCTGTCTTCACTGCCTGTCTCTACTACCAGTTGGTCAGTTTTCGACTTCAAATGTTCTAGTTTATTTGACACTAGACGTAAATCACCCACGCGCAAAATCCAGATCTTCTAAAGTCTTCTGTTTGACTCTACATTTTCCCGTCCTCTCAGTGCCTACAACCTGAATCATAATTCTGTCCACTGTGATCAGAAAAATCATCACTTCAAACGCCCCGCTGAAATTTCCGTTGTGGATCACTTGGCATGCGGCACTGTCACATAGCTGTTGAATTAGGTTGGTAAAGACTTGGAGCACCACTCCCCATAGTAATGAAGTAGTTACCGAATTACTTCGTGATCATGGCTGTCTGTTGAAGGCATTTTCAAACTCAGGAAAAGTGAAGCAGGGGGAGATTTTCAAGTATTGATTTGTAGGGGTTTGATTGATTGGTTAAAGGATTTCATCATGAGCTGATATCGGTTACCAAACCATTGGTAAACCACTTGGGAGTACTGGACAGCTGTTTCGTCCTACTAGTTTGGGAGTCTTCATCAGTAGACATCTAACGCCACGATTCAAACCCAGGACCTTCTGATTACAAGGCGAGGTCACAGACCATTCGATCTAATAATCTATGAATTCAAACTTTTGCAATCCATGACATGGCGCGAGTCTTCGGCGAGTATTTCCCTCACTCCCGATATGCTGTACCCTACGGGTCCCAGCTTCCCACTAAAACCCAAAGTAACTAACTACCTGAATAGGGCCAGATGCAAGTGAGCATCCCATTGATATTCAAGTATCGGTTGGTAGGGATTTGGTTGAATTCATGAGTTGGCCATTGGATCGGGTCCCAGTGGCTATTGAATGGTCTACGTACTCGCTAGCCTTGTAACCAGAAGGTTCTGGGTTCGAACTTTGTCGGTGGCTGCTTACTGATGAAAAGTCCCAAACTCTTCGGTAGGCTTTCCAATGGTCCTCTAACTGATGTCAGTTCATGATGAAATCCTATAACATGAGGGGGATTTGACTGCCACTCTACACTTTGTTCGATGATGATGATGGTTATACGTAGAGTTTTGCAGTTTGATCAATTTTCTACTCTCTCCTTAACTCATCTGCTTACTCACTTTTTCATCCCTTGACATCTTCCCAAAATTTCTCCATCATTCCTAGATAATAGACGCCTGGTTGCTTTTTCGTATTCCCTTAAAAAAATTTCAATAAACTTTCGACTGGATGAGTAGCCTTCGTAAATGCTCAATAATAGTAAGAGACTTGTAAAGGCACACACACACGCACATAAATACATTCATCACACATTTATACACATACACAATTACATACATACATACATTGAAATGTACTTATGTCTAGACTGCATTTTTTCCACCTCAATTTTATTTTCCACCTTATAGTCACTGATTTTTTCACTGGTGGAGGGAGAAGGGGGAAGGAAATATATGAGTACTGGATTATTCTACATAAAAAACCCTGAACAATTATTCTCGCCACTTCGTTATTTCATTGTTGTTGATATACTACTTATATTACTATTTCAGTATTTATCATTATTATTATTTCCTTTAGTTCCTAGAGGAACATAGGGCTTCAGCCATGCGTCTCCATTGCGTTCGGTTCTCTGCTAGGGTCTTCAGCCGGCTCCAAGTCTGCCCATACGCTTTCAATTCTTCTTCACATGATCTCCTCCAGGTCAGCCTTGGACGACAAACTCGTCGCTTCCCTTTCGGGTTCCACTCGAGGGCTTGTCTAGTGATGTCACTCACTTGATGGTTTCCTCAGAATGTGGCCAATCCATCTCCATTTCTTCCTGCCTATTTGTTTCACAATCGGTTCCTGGTTGGTTCGCTCCCAGAGATTTTTGTTGCTGATCCTTTCCGGCCATCTGACCTTTAGTAGTATTGAGCGAAGACAACTGTTAATGAAGGTCTGTAGTTTGTTTGAGGTGCTCTTTGTGACATGCCAAGTCTCCGATCCGTATAGTAGCACTGACTGACTTCACATTGGAGTTGAAAATCCGGATCTTATTTTTGATGCTGAATGCTGTTGACCTCCACACAGAATTGAGAGTAGTGAAAGCTTGTCTTGCTTTTCCAATTCTTGCTTTGATATCCTTGTCAGTTCCGCCGGCCTGTAGTTGAAACAATGCTTCCCAAGTAGGTAAAGGAGTTAGTTTCTTTCAGGTTCCTTCCATTTATGCTGATTGCTGTCTGTTGTTGTTGCTGTGGCTGTTGGTGTTGGCCAGGAATCTTCATCACCTCCGACTATTTCAGCAGACATACATATCATGCTGTTGAGAAGATTTATATTAATGAAGGAAAAAACTTTCTTCGTCAGAAAGATACTACTTATAACGATAATCAAAGAGGTTTTCAAGCGGAAAATTCAATGCAAATAAACATGTGAACATAAAATAAAGGTTTTTGTATTCCCCAATGAATGGAAAACAAAACGATATTGTCGTTTTTACTGACGTTTCGCTATTTAATGCCACTTATAACTTTATCAAAGTATATGTGAACATAAAAGTCTAAATGGGAATACAATAAGATAAACTTTCAAAAGTCTCAAATCAGGGTTGAAATCTACCGCATTCAGTCGTCAGCATTAGAAAGACCAATTGAATTGCCAAAGATAATATCTAATCACTCATTAGTGATATATTCATTCGGAGGACTAAAGCATCACCAAAAGATCATTTTCAACAAGCTATATAAACACATAGATGCATTCATATCCGACAGCTATATGACATTGCAACGAGTCAAGTGATCTACAAAATGAAAACTCAGCGAAGAAGCCTTTGAAGTGAGTGAATACGTAAGTAAGACATGGCTGCCTGCCTATTATCACCCACGATGATACTCCTACTTATGGTGGACCAGATTATGCTATCCGACAGTGCACAGGGAGTGAGAAGGCAGTAATACGTTAAACTAACCGATAAGAAGATTCTAGAAGATCTTGATGTCAAGGATGATTTGGGTCTTATACTGTTATTATTCCCCTGAGTTCTGAGTAGAATATACGGCTTCAACAACACATCTTCACTCTTTTCTATTCTCTGCTGGCCTCTTCAGCTGGCTAGCTCTACGATTGCCCATAATCTCTCATCTCCTCCTCGCCACTGGACATTCGGATTCCAGTCGACCAATGGTCTATATTGAATGCGATTTCATTTGATGGTCTCCTCAATATACGCCCGATCCAACTACATATTATCCCACATTTATGTTGAGCGATCGGCCCTTCGTGGGCTCGTCAACTGCCAGAGTTTCTTGTTGCCAATTCTTTGTGGCCATTTGATCTCCAGTATGGGACCAGAGAAGTGGGCAGCTGTGAAAAATTCTGTCACCTGTTGTAAATTTTTCTGACCAGTATAGAACGACCGACTTGACATTGGTGGTGAAAATCCGAATGTTACTCTTTATGCTGTGGCAGAGTGCAGAAGACTTCGAAACTGGTTTCAGGTTGATGAAAGGGTATCTTGACTTTCCGATTCTGGCTGGATTTGCCATCTTCCTCTGTGCTGTTCTTCTGCCTGCGGTTGATACAATGCTTCCTGGGTAAGTGAAGAAGGTAACCTCTTTTAAAACTCTCCCGTTGTTGATGGCGATTGGTGCTGGTTGTTACAGTTGGTTAGTCTAGTGTCACAAAAAGTCCAAAATTTACAAATGAAATCAAACAAAATTCCTACAAACCATTACTTGAAAATAATAATAAAAGTAAACTTACATAATAAAAGGAAGCAAAATAATAGTAGTGAGAAGGTTAGTTTGGTCACAGGTTTCACTCACTCGCTCAGTGAGTGTTTCAAGGTAGTTGGTGCGGTCGCACTCCATTGGTAGTTAGTGGCGCTTAATGTTTAACTTGGCCAAAGTGACCTTCTTCAAATTTCTCTTGTTGAAAGTATCTAGTGCCTCTTGTTGTTGTTTTTTTTTGGTTTGAATTCCTGTCTTTGCTGGCTGCTTCTTCTCTCACTTTGTTGGTTTTCCGCTGTAAGTCTTTGAATTTACGTGACGTTCAAAATAAATAGTCCTTCGCGAAGTCCTGTCCTCTGGCTCCCCACCTTCAGTCTCCTGAATTATCCACTCCACCATAATTAGGAATATATTAATCTAGACCTTTTTTACAGACAAATTTCGCCTATTTCCAACAGTTAAATTTATATAACAATTTCAGAAAAGATTGAATATGTCTTATCCAATTCTTCATTATTATCACAAATTCGTCACCGTCAACCGGTCATTTCTTGTATGTTCACATAAAATTTCATCACAAAAAAACATCTGTGGAACCAAAACATTTATCTTGTTCACTAAATTATGTAATTTACCGATTTACATGTTATCTAAGCCGAAAACAAACCTGTTCAAAAATCCAGCATTCTGATTGGCTTGTCAATATTATCTATACATATAATCCAATATTCTAATTGGTTGAAATGTCTTGACCAATCAGAGGGCAGAAATTTAGAGAAACATTCAAATTTTTATTTTCAATATTTCTCACTTGTATACTCTTGAAACTATTCAAACAAAAAACAACATGTAATGATTTTATTTGTACTACATGAATCATTCTCCAACTAATCACATCTTAACAATTTCTAAGAAAAACGGATTTTAAATTATAATGTGAGTTATGCTCATAACTGCAGTGAACAAGTTGTTTGGATATTATTTGAAAAAGGATTTATTTGAAATCTATGGTGTATACCTTACCACATTACATTATTTGTCCAAGTGCACACTGATAACACCATTCTGAGGGGTTGAAAGAAAAATTCGACGGTTGAGCGGAAGTACAGAGATTAGGAGAAGGATATACAATTCAATTTAAATCGATTTATTCATGTCAATGAGGGGTACTAACCCCGTCACAATAAACATTAATACTACAATTACGAATAATAATACTCTTTACAATGACACACAAAATAATAACAATAATAATACAACGTTAAATGACCATTTATTACAATTAGATCGACGTTATTGGTGTCTATGCTTAATGATATTTTCGATAGCCACACTATTTGGAAATTCTCTAGTTGTACTCAGTGTGATACGAGAACGTTCATTGAGAAATGCAACAAATTGGTTTATAGTCAGCTTAGCTATTGCTGATATCAGTTTAGCTATATTGGTTATGCCATTGGCTACATGGTTAGAGGTAAGTAATATATATTTATACATATATACGTGTAATAATTCGATGGATTTATTGATTTATCGATTTTTTTGTATCAAGATTTGAAAACATAACTCAATGTATTTCAGTAGACACGCTAGAAAGGATCATTCTTTCTTCCTTGAGTTAAGGCAGCCTTTGTTTATTGATGTGATATCACCCTTTTGTGGACTCTGTTTAATAAATGTATTCAATTTTTGGCATTGTGGTATTATGTGATTCCAGTATTCAGCGAGGAGAGTCTTTTCAATTCATGGAAATTTCCCATTGTATCATATAGAAAATGAAAACAAGTGATTCAGCAAAGAGACTCTTTTCAACGAATTTATCATCAAGCTGTACAATCGTATATATATGGTTTTTAAGAAGTTATATCCGGTGAGGGAATTGAAACATAGATGTGAATGCATGAAATAATAATAATAATATGAAATGCAATTAAAACTAAAGTGTCTGTGATTATAATCGTAGTTAAATGTCAAGTGGCAAAACAATTAATGTCATATATAGAATAATTCATAGGATGGATAGAACTTGAAAAAGGTGTGCAATTATAAGATTACTAGACAAATCGAATACTTGTAGAACCTGATGATGAATTTATCGAAAAGAGTTCTCTTTGTTCCGTGTCCATTCTTTTGAAAATTTTAATGGGCATTTTTAATCAATTAAAATAAAAACGTTGCGTAATATTGTGTGAAATTTAATAGCATAGAATTTAATGTTGCATACAGGAATTGATTTAGAATGACAAGTGGAACAAGTGAAATAATACCGGGGACAGTTCAAAGTGAGAATAGTAATAGTAACAGTTGACGTAATAAGGAAGAGTATACAAATTGAACAAACAAAAATGAAAAAAATGAAAAATTGGTAGAGCTAAAATATGATTGGGGATTACCATACTCCAGCATAGAGGGATTAAGATCATGAAAGTTGGAGGGGTTGAAGGAACTTTTTCTGTGAACAGAGATCTGGCTTTTCTGTTTCGACAGCCAAAGATGGCTTCAGCAATACAGATGAGTCGGGTACGTAGGGATTTCGGTAAATTACTCTTCGCCTTGTAGATGACTTTGAAGGTGGAGGCTATAGAGTTAGGGTGATCATTATCGACCAGATGTTGAATGATCGCGCTTCTTATCGCTCCACTTCCACCTTTTCTTAACCATGCAGGACAGTGTTCTTGCACACTCTTGGACAAAACTCGTGTCGAACGACCGATATACCTAGCTCCACACGAGCAGGTGAATTGATAGACGCACATAGAGTTGGTCAACTTTGGGATCTTGTTCTTCAGGTTATTGAACAGCAATAGCCGACTGGTACAGGCTTTTCTCAGAGATGCAGCAGGGAATAATCTTCTCAGGGATTGTTATATCCTTCGTTTCTTGATATCGGAATCTAAGTCCCCTTTGAATTCCAAGTTCATGTAAAGTATCTTCTTGGGTACGGTTGATAAGTCACGTTTTTAGGATTTGAATGTATATTCTTATATATAAAACGTGGTGGAAATCCGTTTTCTACTACGATTTTCCTCAAGATAATTATTATCAAGCTGTACTACCGTATGCATGTATGGTATTCAAGAAATTCTATGCGGTGAGGGAATTGAATGAAATGTTAGAATACATGAAATAATAGTAATAATATGAAATGCAATTAAAACTAAAATGTTTGTGATTATAATCATAGTTTAATGTCAAGTGGCACAATAATTAATGTCGTATAGAGAATAATACATAAGGCGTATAGATTTGGGAAAGGGATACATAATTATAAGATTAGTAGACGAATATAAAATGTTACATAACATGGTGTGAAATTTGATAAGATAGAATTCAATATTGTAAAAAATATAAAAATATAAAAATTAATAATTTTTGGGTTTAGAATGACAAGTGGAAACATTTCCTAATGAGAATAGTAATAATAGTAATAATAATAATAGTAGCAGTAATGAAGAAAGGGTACATTGATTAACTGGATAAACAAAGTAAACAAATGTCCATCCTTCCGCGGCCAAGGTAGAAGTATGGATTGTACATACTTCTTTTGTACACAAAGGTCTGGCTTAAATTCGTGAATGGCTAAGGCCTCTGCTGTCTTTAGAAGTTTAGAACGAAGAAAATGCATTGAGTTAGAATGGATTTGACAGATGATGACTTTAAATCATGGTCAGGGTTGACAGAGTGACAGGAGCCGATGAGGTGTTGTTCTAGAATAGAGCTTCGCACACTCTTCCTTTACCCCTTGTAAAACCATGCTGCTGGAATATGTTTTCGTATCCATGAGTGGAGAGCGTTCTCTGGCTTTGGCCAATGCACCTTGCTCCACAAAAGCAGGTGAACTGATAGATGCACATGGAGACAGCCAAACGGAGGAGCTTATCTTTTACAGAAGTGGAGAACATCTTGTGCCTGGTGAACGCCATTTGTAGTTTCACGCTTTAATGATTGATTTAGAGAGAGACGATTTTTGAGCATATCTGAAGCTTGATCACCTTTGAATTCCAAATTCATGAATAAGGTTTCCTTCGAAACTGAGTCGGTGACCAGTTTAGACTGCTTATCTTTCATGTTTCTGTCAATAAATCGGTTCAAGTAACCGTTTTCTGCCAGGGTGGCTTTTAGTGAGTCAAGTTTTGAGTCAACGCAATCAGAACTACAGATTTTTCTTATCCTAAAGCAGAGCGAATGAATTAGGTTTCTTTTCCTAGAGGTAGGCAGGAATGTTTCCGGTGGATGGATCTCTTAAGAGATCCGTCATTGCGTCAACTTATACACACATCAAGAAGTGGAATGGTTAGTTCAGATGCCTTTTCTATGGTGGATTGTAAAGAAAGGATGACAGTTGTTCAATGCAAACAAGACATCATCAAGAATAACGTTCTTATTGCAGATAACGAAAATGTCGTCTACTTACTTTCCATAAATGTCAAAGTTGTCAATGGTTTGACTGAATTGAGAGTTTTCATGCTTTGCCATAAAACAGTCAACCAGTAGTGGGCCCAGTAAAACGGGTTAACAAAGTTCCGAACACAATTTATCCTTCTTCTTAATCACATCTCTGATCGTACTTACACAACTCCGAAACTTTCGCTTTATAGTTTTCTTTATGCCTTCCCATTCGTCGTAGGGATAGTGTAGAATTTTCTAGATGTCCGAGTGGATAGGTGCTGAATCACTCCTACTATACGTACTGTCAACTGAATAGGTAAATAAAGCTTCTGATAACTCATTCTCTCTCTCCATCCTGTTACATTAAATTTTGTATGGTTGTGTGTGCATAATTGCATGTAGTGCTATATAACTGACCTATTCTATAGATTTCTTATCTTATTCGGGTCAACAAATCTAGATTTTTGCTAGGTTTTTGTGCTCCGCTAGTCTGACTGACCCAGCTCCACTACTTTGACCCATGCATTCTATGACCTGACGATCATTCCAGCAAAGCATTAGATAAACTAAATTGTTTCGCTTACCTGACTTCAGGGGATCCTTTATTAATAATCATACTACTGGTGTGGTGAGAGCTGTCTACTAGCCAAATTGGTAGACAGTAATTTACGTCAATATTTACGTTCTCAAGATTTGTCGTGAGTAAATGTGAACAAAGATTGATTCAAAACCAACCACAGCATACTTTGCGTAGGCGGATGCAGTTAACATATAGAGGATTTGACATTCAAGAAACAGTCACAAATAGATGAAAGATTAACTTTAAGTGAGGAACAACCAATCGGAAAACTGTGTTTGTTTACTTAAATATCCATAGTAATGTACATGAAATATATAAATATGCGTGGATTTCCTTAATAAATGATCTGTTGCCTGACTCTTGCCTTCTGTCGTTGCACTGGTAGTAGCAATAAAGGTAATAATAGAAGTAGTGACTTCATTCTGAACTGTGTTTAAAGAATGTACAGAATTTCCAGTGGAGTTTATTGCATGGTATTTTCCTTTCATAAAGGATCTTATCAAATAAAATATTGATTGATGGTAGATCAGGTGTCTAATCCACTTACATTTCACTTGGCATATATTCTGAGCACTGGGAGATTGTTGATTGGTTCGTTTTAAGACCACCTTGTAGCTAATTCTTTCTAAACAGCCAGCCATTAGATCTTCAGTAAAGAGCCCGCTGGGGGAGGGGTAGCTGTTCGCAACGATTTCATGATGCGAACGCCAAGAACGTAATTTCAGAGTAGTGAAGGTATTCTTTCACTCTCTGATCCTACTTTTGACATCCTCATCGATTTCGACTGTCTGTAATTGATGCGACGTTTCTTAGATAAGTGAAGAAGGTGAGTGCTCTGAAATTTCTCCTGGTGTCTTTGGCAACTAAGTATATTCATCAGCTCAGTCTTCTCTGTATTCACATGGAGTCCTAACTTTGCTTCTTGTTCTTCTCCTGGCAGTTTATTTGGTCTTTACCCGTAAGTACTTTGAGTTTAATGTGACACTAGACATCCGTGAGAAAATCGTGATATTCTCAAGTCTTGTCATCGGTCAGTTCAACATATCCGTATTTTCTTACTCTCCAGTGACTGGATGCGCTACTTTGAAATACCCTTGATGTTGAAATGACTAGACAAAAGTCTCACTTAAGAGTGGTTTCCACTTTTCTCAGAAGTGACCGAATTTCTTGATGACAATATTTAATAGTAATAAGAATGGCTTTATTCTGAACAGTGTTGCATAATATTTTGCCTTTGTCCAGGATCTTTAAGTAAGGTAGTAACTGCCAATAGATCGTGTGACACAGGGCTGTCGAATTTGGGGCAAAAACTAATCCCTCTTTAATGATATTCCCTCTTTGCCTTCTTCTTCTATGAGAAATGCAAAATATTTGGTTTAAATCCAACTGTACAACGTTCAGGAATCATACACAAAAATCCCTTTTTATAAGTTTCAGCAGAGAAAGAACAAACATTAATATTATTATTGTTCCCTTGGGTTCCTAGTGGAACATAGGGCTTCAAA